TTATTCAGTGCTGTTTTAACATTGAGCAATTTCATATTTTTTTTAGAAAAGGAAATTTTAACCCACTATCTTTTTGATTTAACCATTTTCTATTGAGATACCCTGAAATATTTTACTTGACTATCTGATAGTCTAGTTTTATTTTAAAGTAAAGTAAATTTAGTATCTAAATGATTCACAAAATATGAGGCAATTTGAATAATAAGATAATGTTCCATATAAAGATTGTAGAATTTGATTTTATTAACTTTTGGGCATGTAGATAATGTAGTCAAATGGAAACTTTAGAAATCTTTAGAATAATTATTCAAATTACTCACATGTGTGATTAAACTATATGAATATTTTTGTCACTTCCACATTTTATGAAATTATTTTATTAGAGCTCTTAACTTTTTTTTAACAGCTTTATGAAGTATAGTTTATATGTCATGTAATTCACCTATATAAAGTGTATAGTTTAATGACTTTTAGCCTAACCACAGAGTTGTTAAGCTAACACCACTATCAGTTGTAGCACATTTTCATCCTCAAGCACTTCATTTGCATAATATGACTTCAGAATTTTTGTCATTACTAGAGGCACTTTTGAACACAGTTACACAGTAAAATCTTTCTTCGAACTTTTAAAAAAATACAGCACATTTTAAAGTTATCTGATGCTATCCCTTGAAACTCTACCCTACAGTGTAAGTATACATGTGCTATTAATGGTCGGTTATGTATTCACTCTTTGTTTTAGTTTCTTTTTCTCCTTTGATTGCTTTAGAAAGATGATCTTTCAAAGTCTTATTAATACCTACATTGGCAGTCAATTCTGTCAGAGAAATCTGTTCAGACCTAAACTTTGTATTGGTTTTAGTAGTTTGAATTTAGTTTTTTACCCAGAAGCATTAAATTATGATTTGAAACATAGTAGTTGCTTCATTTGCTAAAATGCTTAATATGCAAGCATTTTAGCAGTTTCAGAAATTGATTCCATCCCAAGTAATTAAACCAAGTCAAACCTTTATATTCATGCCTATCTCTCTACAGAATGGAAATAAATATGATGCCATTTGCTCACATGGAAAGCCTCACTTTTTCTTTGCTTTTTTTCTTCCCTTTAAAAGTGTATCTTCTAGTTTTTAATTTTTTATAGCTACAATAAATCATCAGTTGGATTCTTTCTCCTGTAAATTTTTATTTTATATTATTAGCTGGCTAGACTAAAAATCTTTTAGGTATTCATCAGTCACCAGAAGATATCAGTCACCAAGATTGTATTTGGACATGAAAAAACCCTAAAAACCGGGAGGGGAGACTAAGAAATGGTTTTCTAGAGTGATAGAATAGGATGAAGTGCTTTTTATCCCCTGGCTATATAAGCAAAAACAGATATAATACTTCAATTAAATTTCTGGATTTTTAAGCTTTGGCTTTTCTTTAGTAAAAATTGGGAGTGGGTATGTGTGTGTACTTGTACAAGAGTGTGAAGTGTGGGTTTTCATAGGTATTTTTCATTTGAGATACTTGTAAAACATATTAATTTAGCTAAAGATATGACTCTTAAGTTCTTTAAACAAATTCAATAGCCAGACCATACATTAGCAAGCTCTTTTTAACTATAAAAAGCCAGATATAAATATTTTCAATTTAAGCAACATGTGGCCTTTGCTACAGCCCCCAGCTCTGCTATCAGACACAAAAGTAGTCATAGACAACATGTAAACAAATTGGCTTAGATGTATTTTTTCAAAAAGCCTTTATTTATCAAAACTGAATTTGAAGTCATAATTTTTACATACCCCCAATTTTTTTTTCCAGTCATGTAAGATTATAAAAAAATATTCTTAGCTCATGTGGCATATAAAAACAGGTGGTGGACTGAATTTTTCTGTGGACTCTAGTTTTGCCAAACTGTTCTAGACGACACAATTACTGGCTTTCTCTGACGATAGCCAAATTGTGTCATCTTTTCTGATGATATAATATTTTAGGTATGAAATAAGCAACTTATTTCTAGCATATTACATTGCTGATTTCTCTGAAATTGACAATAATGAATATGTCATCCATAATTTAATGGAACTAATATAAGAACATAAAGTTCTTATATTGTCTTTCAATGAAAGTTGGCTCTTCATACAGTGTTCCTATCAACATGGGAGAAGCCATACATTTCACATTGTCTCCAGGTTCCTGTTGTTAAATTATGTAATAACCAATGTGAAGTCAGCATTTTGTGCTAACCAATGTGAAGTCAGCATTTTGTGCTGGCAGCAACCTCGCCCTTCTCATGCCTTCTGCATCTCCTTGATAGTATCATTTCCCCTTGCGCTTGATTTAATTTTTCTACATAATTATTCCTAAGCATATAAAATCTATTGTTAATGTGGTCAGTAAGAGGCCACCTAAGGTATTGGACAGGAAACAGAATCAAAGTGATTAAGGACTACAAGAGTAGACAATCAGGGATAGCTAGTCTTTGCCAGTCAGTCTTGAAGAACAAGAACAAAGACAAGGAAGCTGTTAAAAGGATCTGCTTCTTAATCCAGTCATCTACTTTAGGGCATTTGGGTTGATTCCATGTCTTTCCTTTTGTAAATAAAGCAGCAGTAAACATGGGGGTGCAGGTGTCTTTTTGAATCAGTGTTTTTGTGTCTTTTGGGTAGATACCTAGGAGTGAGATTGCTGGGTCATATGGGAGCTCCTTGTTTAGCAGTTTGAGAAACCTTCAAACAGCATTCTATAGTGGTTGTACTAGTTTGCAGTCCCACCAGCAGTGCAGGAGAGTTCCTTTTTTTCTGCATCTTTGCCAACATTTATTGTTGCTAGTTGTTTTAAGGTGTGCCAGTCTCACTGGGGTGAGGTGGTTTTAATTTGCATCTCCTTTATTACAGGTGATGAACATTTTTTCATATGCTTGTTGGCCATCTGCATTTCCTTTTTGGAGAAGTGTCTTTTTAGCTCTTCTGCCCATTTTTTGATGGGGTGTTCACTTTATTTTTGTTGAGTTTCATCAGTTCTTTGTATATCTTTGTGATCAATCCTTTATCGTTAGTATTGTGTGAGAAAATGTACTTCTAATCAGTGGGATGTCTGTCTGTTTTGTGTAATGTCTCTTTTGCTGTACAGAAGCTCTTTAACTTGACATATATACACAATGGAATATTATTCAGCAATCCAAAAAGTTAAACTCATATCTTTTGCAGTAACATGGATGGAGCAGGAAGGGATCATGTTTAGTGAAATTAGCCAGAAAGAAAAAGAAAAATA